GTTTGTGATCCATCTCCCTCAGTAGTCCCCACCTACCACTGTTGTTGTTTGTGGTCCATCTCCCTCAGTCGTCCCCCACCTACCACTGTTGTTGTTTGTGGTGCATCTCCCTCAGTCGTCCCCCACCTACCACTGTTGTTGTTTGTGGTGCATCTCCCTCAGTCCTCCCCACCTACCACTGTTGTTGTTTGTGGTGCATCTCCCTCAGTCGTCCCCCACCTACCACTGTTGTTGTTTGTGATCCATCTCCCTCAGTCGTCCCCCACCTACCACTGTTGTTGTTTGTGGTGCATCTCCCTCAGTCGTCCCCCACCTACCACTGTTGTTGTTTGTGATCCATCTCCCTCAGTCATCCCTCACCTACCACTGTTGTTGTTTGTGATCCATCTCCCTCAGTCGTCCCCCACCTACCACTGTTGTTGTTTGTGGTGCATCTCCCTCAGTCGTCCCCCACCTACCACTGTTGTTGTTTGTGATTCACCTCACTCAGTCATCCCCCACCTACCACTGTTGTTGTTTGTGGTGCATCTCCCTCAGTCATCCCTCACCTACCACTGTTGTTGTTTGTGATCCATCTCCCTCAGTAGTCCCCACCTACCACTGTTGTTGTTTGTGGTGCATCTCCCTCAGTCGTCCCCACCTACCACTGTTGTTGTTTGTGATCCATCTCACTCAGTCATCCCCCACCTACCACTGTTGTTGTTTGTGGTCCATCTCCCTCAGTCATCCCCCACCTACCACTGTTGTTGTTTGTGATCCATCTCCCTCAGTCATCCCCCACCTACCACTGTTGTTGTTTGTGGTCCATCTCCCTCAGTCGTCCCCCACCTACCACTGTTGTTGTTTGTGGTGCATCTCCCTCAGTCGTCCCCACCTACCACTGTTGTTGTTTGTTGTGCATCTCCCTCAGTCGTCCCCACCTACCACTGTTGTTGTTTGTGGTGCATTTCCCTCAGTAGTCCCCACCTACCACTGTTGTTGTTTGTGATGCATCTCCCTCAGTCGTCCCCCACCTACCACTGTTGTTGTTTGTGGTGCATCTCCCTCAGTCGTCCCCCACCTACCACTGTTGTTGTTTGTGATCCATCTCCCTCAGTCGTCCCCCACCTACCACTGTTGTTGTTTGTGGTGCATCTCCCTCAGTCGTCCCCACCTACCACTGTTGTTGTTTGTTGTGCATCTCCCTCAGTCGTCCCCACCTACCACTGTTGTTGTTTGTGGTGCATCTCCCTCAGTCGTCCCCACCTACCACTGTTGTTGTTTGTGGTGCATTTCCCTCAGTCGTCCCCACCTACCACTGTTGTTGTTTGTTGTGCATCTCCCTCAGTCGTCCCCACCTACCACTGTTGTTGTTTGTGGTGCATCTCCCTCAGTCGTCCCCCACCTACCACTGTTGTTGTTTGTGATCCATCTCCCTCAGTCGTCCCCACCTACCACTGTTGTTGTTTGTTGTGCATCTCCCTCAGTCATCCCCCACCTACCACTGTTGTTGTTTGTGATCCATCTCCCTCAGTCGTCCCCCACCTACCACTGTTGTTGTTTGTGATCCATCTCCCTCAGTCATCCCCCACCTACCACTGTTGTTGTTTGTGATCCATCTCCCTCAGTAGTCCCCACCTACCACTGTTGTTGTTTGTGGTGCATCTCCCTCAGTCGTCCCCCACCTACCACTGTTGTTGTTTGTGATCCATCTCCCTCAGTCATCCCCCACCTACCACTGTTGTTGTTTGTGATCCATCTCCCTCAGTAGTCCCCACCTACCACTGTTGTTGTTTGTGATCCATCTCCCTCAGTCGTCCCCACCTACCACTGTTTTTTGTGGTGCATCTCCCTCAGTCGTCCCCCACCTACCACTGTTGTTGTTTGTGATCCATCTCCCTCAGTCATCCCCCACCTACCACTGTTGTTTGTGATCCATTTCCCTCAGTCGTCCCCACCTACCACTGTTGTTGTTTGTTGTGCATCTCCGTCAGTCGTCCCCACCTACCACTGTTGTTGTTTGTGGTGCATCTCCCTCAGTCGTCCCCCACCTACCACTGTTGTTGTTTGTGGTGCATCTCCCTCAGTCGTCCCCCACCTACCACTGTTGTTGTTTGTGATCCAGCTCCCTCAGTCGTCCCCCACCTACCACTGTTGTTGTTTGTGATCCATCTCCCTCAGTCGTCCCCCACCTACCACTGTTGTTGTTTGTGATCCATCTCCCTCAGTCGTCCCCCACCTACCACTGTTGTTGTTTGTGATCCATCTCCCTCAGTCGTCCCCACCTACCACTGTTGTTGTTTGTGGTGCATCTCCCTCAGTCGTCCCCCACCTACCACTGTTGTTGTTTGTGATGCATCTCCCTCAGTCATCCCCCACCTACCACTGTTGTTGTTTGTGATCCATCTCCCTCAGTAGTCCCCACCTACCACTGTTGTTGTTTGTGGTGCATCTCCCTCAGTCGTCCCCCACCTACCACTGTTGTTGTTTGTGATCCATCTCCCTCAGTCGTCCCCACCTACCACTGTTGTTTGTGGTGCATCTCCCTGAGTCGTCCCCCACCTACCACTGTTGTTGTTTGTGATCCATCTCCCTCAGTCATCCCCCACCTACCACTGTTGTTTGTGATCCATCTCCCTCAGTCATCCCCCACCTACCACTGTTGTTGTTTGTGATCCATCTCCCTCAGTAGTCCCCACCTACCACTGTTGTTGTTTGTGGTGCATCTCCCTCAGTCGTCCCCCACCTACCACTGTTGTTGTTTGTGATGCATCTCCCTCAGTCATCCCCCACCTACCACTGTTGTTGTTTGTGATCCATCTCCCTCAGTAGTCCCCACCTACCACTGTTGTTGTTTGTGGTGCATCTCCCTCAGTCGTCCCCCACCTACCACTGTTGTTGTTTGTGATCCATCTCCCTCAGTAGTCCCCACCTACCACTGTTGTTTGTGGTGCATCTCCCTCAGTCGTCCCCCACCTACCACTGTTGTTGTTTGTGATCCATCTCCCTCAGTCATCCCCCACCTACCACTGTTGTTTGTGATCCATCTCCCTCAGTCGTCCCCCACCTACCACTGTTGTTTGTGATCCATCTCCCTCAGTCGTCCCCCACCTACCACTGTTGTTGTTTGTGGTGCATCTCCCTCAGTCGTCCCCCACCTACCACTGTTGTTGTTTGTGGTCCATCTCCCTCAGTCGTCCCCACTGTTGTTGTTTGTGGTCCATCTCCCTCAGTCATCCCCACCTACCACTGTTGTTGTTTGTGATCCATCTCCCTCAGTCGTCCCCCACCTACCACTGTTGTTTGTGGTGCATCTCCCTCAGTCGTCCCCACCTACCACTGTTGTTGTTTGTGATCCATCTCCCTCAGTCATCCCCCACCTACCACTGTTGTTGTTTGTGATCCATCTCCCTCAGTCGTCCCCCACCTACCACTGTTGTTGTTTGTGGTGCATCTCCCTCAGTCATCCCCACCTACCACTGTTGTTGTTTGTGATCCATCTCCCTCAGTCATCCCCCACCTACCACTGTTGTTGTTTGTGATCCATCTCCCTCAGTAGTCCCCACCTACCACTGTTGTTGTTTGTGGTGCATCTCCCTCAGTCGTCCCCCACCTACCACTGTTGTTGTTTGTGGTGCATCTCCCTCAGTCGTCCCCCACCTACCACTGTTGTTGTTTGTGATCCATCTCCCTCAGTAGTCCCCACCTACCACTGTTGTTGTTTGTGATCCATCTCCCTCAGTAGTCCCCACCTACCACTGTTGTTGTTTGTGATGCATCTCCCTCAGTCGTCCCCCACCTACCACTGTTGTTGTTTGTGATCCATCTCCCTCAGTCGTCCCCCACCTACCACTGTTGTTGTTTGTGGTGCATCTCCCTCAGTCGTCCCCCACCTACCACTGTTGTTGTTTGTGATCCACCTCACTCAGTCATCCCCCACCTACCACTGTTGTTGTTTGTGGTGCATCTCCCTCAGTCATCCCTCACCTACCACTGTTGTTGTTTGTGATCCATCTCCCTCAGTAGTCCCCACCTACCACTGTTGTTGTTTGTGGTCCATCTCCCTCAGTCGTCCCCCACCTACCACTGTTGTTGTTTGTGGTGCATCTCCCTCAGTCGTCCCCCACCTACCACTGTTGTTGTTTGTGGTGCATCTCCCTCAGTCCTCCCCACCTACCACTGTTGTTGTTTGTGGTGCATCTCCCTCAGTCATCCCTCACCTACCACTGTTGTTGTTTGTGATCCATCTCCCTCAGTAGTCCCCACCTACCACTGTTGTTGTTTGTGGTGCATCTCCCTCAGTCGTCCCCACCTACCACTGTTGTTGTTTGTGATCCATCTCACTCAGTCATCCCCCACCTACCACTGTTGTTGTTTGTGGTCCATCTCCCTCAGTCATCCCCCACCTACCACTGTTGTTGTTTGTGATCCATCTCCCTCAGTCATCCCCCACCTACCACTGTTGTTGTTTGTGGTCCATCTCCCTCAGTCGTCCCCCACCTACCACTGTTGTTGTTTGTGGTGCATCTCACTCAGTCGTCCCCCACCTACCACTGTTGTTGTTTGTGGTGCATCTCCCTCAGTCATCCCCCACCTACCACTGTTGTTGTTTGTGGTGCATCTCCCTCAGTCGTCCCCCACCTACCACTGTTGTTGTTTGTGGTGCATCTCACTCAGTCGTCCCCCACCTACCACTGTTGTTGTTTGTGATCCATCTCCCTCAGTCGTCCCCCACCTACCACTGTTGTTGTTTGTGGTGCATCTCCCTCAGTTGTCCCCCACCTACCACTGTTGTTGTTTGTGGTGCATCTCCCTCAGTCGTCCCCCACCTACCACTGTTGTTGTTTGTGGTCCATCTCCCTCAGTCGTCCCCCACCTACCACTGTTGTTGTTTGTGGTGCATCTCCCTCAGTCGTCCCCCACCTACCACTGTTGTTGTTTGTGATCCATCTCCCTCAGTCGTCCCCCACCTACCACTGTTGTTGTTTGTGGTGCATCTCCCTCAGTCATCCCCCACCTACCACTGTTGTTGTTTGTGGGGAAGAATCCCTGTATTGTTGTTTGCTTTGTTGCTGTGAAGAGGAGCGGATGAGGGGGTGTGGTCTGAGTCAGCTGCCATAGCGATGACTTGGACTGTCGCGGGAATCCTCTCACCACACTTGAGTGTCTTCTCCTAGGTTTGGGAGACACAGGCTTGATCTGCAACAAGGAAGCAAATTTATCAAATATTCCAGTCATCATTTAAGGATATTCCAGTTCATTCTGGGTGAAACTAGCATTACTATAAATACAGAACTGGTTCAGGCAATGCAACCCAGTTACACTGAATCTGGTTGGTAAGAATATTATTAACTGGATCAATCATTAAAAATATGTTAAACGGATGCTGATACTAAACACTAAATAAAACCTAAAAATAATATAATTATTTTGCTGGTTATAGTTTTGTTATAATGTCTTGGTCGTAATTTTTCTATTCTTGCTAGGGTGGTGGGGTAGCCTGGTGGTGAAAGCGTTTGCTCTTCACGCCGAAGACACGGGTTCAATTCCCCACATGGGTACAATGTGTGAAGCTCATTTCTGGTGTCACCCACCTTGATATTGCTGGGATATTGCTGACAGTGGCGTAAAACAATACTCACTCACTGGCTCACATTATTCTTGCCTAGTGTCTCAAACACTGAGATGAATCAAACACTGAGGAGAATCAAACACTGAGGTGAATCAAACACTGAGGTGAGGTGAATCAAACACTGAGGTCAATCAAACACTGAGGTGAATCAAACACTAAGGTGAATCAAACACTGAGGTGAATCAAACACTGAGATGAATCAAACACTGAGATGAATCAAACACCGAGGTGAATCAAACACTGAGATGAATCAAACACTGAGGTGAATCAAACACTGAGATGAATCAAACACTGAGGTGAATCAAACACTGAGATGAATCAAACACTGAGGTGAATCAAACACTGAGATGAATCAAACACTGAGATGAATCAAACACTGAGGTGAATCAAACACAGAGATGAATCAAACACTGAGATGAATCAAACACTGAGGTGAATCAAACACTGAGATGAATCAAACACTGAGGTGAATCAAACACTGAGATGAATCAAACACTGAGGTGAATCAAACACTGAGATGAATCAAACACTGAGGTGAATCAAACACTGAGGTGAATCAAACACTGAGGTGAATCAAATACTGAGGTGAATCAAACACTGAGATGAATCAAACACTGAGGTGAATCAAACACTGAGATGAATCAAACACTGAGGTGAATCAAACACAGATGAATCAAACACTGAGATGAATCAAACACTGAGATGAATCAAACACTGAGGTGAATCAAGCACTGAGATGAATCAAACACTGAGGTGAATCAAACACTGAGATGAATCAAACACAGATGAATCAAACACAGATGAATCAAACACTGAGATGAATCAAACACTGAGATGAATCAAACACAGATGAATCAAACACTGAGATGAATCAAACACTGAGATGAATCAAACACTGAGGTGAATCAAACACTGAGGTGAATGAAACACTGAGATGAATCAAACACTGAGATGAATGAAACACTGAGATGAATCAAACACTGAGGTGAATCAAACACTGAGATGAATCAAACACTGAGATGAATCAAACACTGAGGTGAATCAACAATGAGGTGAATCAAACACTGAGGTGAATCAAACACTGAGGTGAATCAAACACCGAGGTGAATCAAACACCGAGGTGAATCAACAATGAGGTGAATCAAACACTGAGGTGAATTAAACACTGAGGTGAATCAAACACTGAGGTGAATCAAACACTGAGGTAAATCAAACACTGAGATGAATCAAACACTGAGGTGAATCAAACACTGAGGTGAATCAAACACTGAGGTGAATCAAACACTGAGGTGAATCAAACACTGAGATGAATCAAACACTGAGTTGATAAAACCTCTAGAGTGCCTCCACCAAGTGACCAATCCCTACACCATGTGCACTTTGTTTGTTTGTTGTTTAAGGCCGCACTCAGCAATATTCCAGCTATATGATGATCTGTAAATAATCGAGTCTGGACCAGACAATCCAGTGATTGATGTCATGAACATGGAATACGATGACAAACGTCAACCATGTCAGCGACTGTGAGGTCACGATGACCCATGATCAGTATTTCACTGATAACAGGACCACTATTGAAGAAGAGGTTTCAGCATTTAATGTAATGTTAAAAAATGTTACAATATCTTGCAATTAAAGAAAATAAGAACTTTAAAAAAATCCAATTTGATGATTGTTGTTACTGCCACACTCACAGTATTCCAGCTGAGCTAGATGACGACAGCCTTAAATTATCAAATTTGGACCACACAATCCAGTGATTGCCATCGTTGAGGTTGGGATTAAGTAATGTAAATGTGTTTGTTGGGTTTCTATGCCACATCCACCACTAACACGGCATCCTGTCTTTAGTTATGTCTGCAGCAGTCAATCCAGTGACACATCTAGACAAACCTGGAATGTCCATGGAGCGACCAGCACAGGTTGTTGCTGAGGACCAATTCTAACCCGGGTTCCCCATATCTCACTCCAGACTAATTGTTCATGTATCATAAGAATATTTTGTGAAACAAACAACCAGCCCTTCCAAATCTTCAATTGTTGTGGATGAACAGACTAGTGGTCATGTCTGACCCTATTCAAGACAATGTCTACCTTTTGTTTGTTCCGAGTGGTGAGCCACTCCTCCTCACATGGCGCCGGGGAGCGGACATCATCCGGTTGCTTTCTCTTCATTCCTGCAGCAACAGAAGTAACATCACCTCGTCATCAGACACCTGGATCATTCACATGTTTCAATCATCAAAATGACATCTTAACCCTGGGAGTCCCAGCAACCTCTACAAGTTTGATTCAAATCGCTCAACTGTACTGTACATGCTGTAATTACGGAGAGACCATCAATGTCTCAATTTCACTAACATCAGGACTGGAACTGAGTCCACCGATCCGGTCTACATTCTAGGATTCTCATAGAAACATTGCCCTAATCTGACTTGGTCAGGACTGGAACTGAGTCCACCGATCCGGTCAAGATTCTAGGATTCTCATAGCAGCTTTGTCTTCTTTTAAGTTACGTGAACCAACTCAGTTGCCACCAAACATTCTGATTGGGAGATTTTCTTATTTAAGACGTATGACTAATCTTTACCATGAGTTACGCGAACCGTCTCGGTTGATAGCACAAAACTAAAACTGCTGCCCAACCCTGCAGGGATTTTCTCATGTTTTGGCGAGGTCACCTGTTAGATCCTCCATGTCCTCCTGATACCACAAGGGGGGGCAAGTCCAGAAAAGAGGGAGGAATGTAGTGATTGGTGCTTCCACACTCGTACATTGGATTACATCGGATTGGTCACCCGATGTTACTCGTATGTTTCCGGGTGTGATCGAGGCACGTGATCAACTGACCCGCCAAATCTGACAGGTGACAATCGACAGATTGAGACGAGACAGCAAAGACAACGGACAAACCAACCGAAGCTAACGATCTCGATCTCCCCATCATCACGCTTACGCTGTAAGGTAAGCACCTTTTCCATATCACTAGGCTTTCACAACTGTAACACATCTTTGACTCAACTAATTAAAACGTCTCTACATAGTAACTGAACACACCAACAGACCACAGAGCAAAGTCACTCATGTCCTGACTACAGCATTATGTCATTCAATGCCAGTGACTGATGGACTGTGTGATCCGTCTGTCTGAAAAACACGGACTGTCTCCAAAGTCCCTACATCGTCATTTAAATTCGCGTTAAAGTTAAACTCTGATTGAGATTTCGTCTTTCAGAACGCTTTAACCTGTCAAATAAAGAACCTTAAATTAAAACCCCAAATGTACTTGCTTCACACCATTCTACTTTCACCAATTTGGTCAAAATATTTTCAGGCAGAAAACGTTGATTTCGTCATTTGCCGATTTTTCTTAGTTCACCTTCAAAGACAATCCGTAGTCCAGCACACGCAAAATAGCCTTCGGACATTCTAGCAGTGTAATTTTCAAACTGGAACTATATTAATTTAGGAGCTGATTACCGTGAACGCGGCAGGAAAACTGCAATCTGGAAGAGATTCTCCCAGCTGAAAATTAACCTGTTTACACCAGCCCGCCATGTGATGCGCTATTTACCAAAGGGGCGTAATTCTACTGTAACACATTTCAGACCGTTAAAAAATATTCAAGCATCAACTAACGGCCCTTGACAAACAGGATTAAACGCAAACAACATTTTAGAAACATCAGCCTGTTGTATTTATATTTTACAATTTGAAAATGAAGACATTTAGATTCTCTGTGACGATATCACAATGATAAATGTATACAAGAAATACTGTGTACTTTAAGGTCTTAGGGTGGGATAAATTAATTTGTAAGTATGACTGTGTGTGTTGCATGTCAAATTTACGATCCAGTATACCGTCACCATGTATAGTCTTATAAATGTGATAGCATTAATGAATAAGTAAGAACTCTGCGATCTGTGAATTCTTGATTCAGGTATACACTCTTCAAAAAAATAGAAACGCACAGGTAGGTTTTTAGTAAATTTGTTGTACCTAATAAAGTCGATATATTTAATTTAAAATCATAGATACAAATATGAAATTTTGGAGCTCGATAGTCACATGTTGTACAACGGCATTTAAACCCATGTACCCGTGTACCCGTGAAGATCCGGGGTAGAATAGGGCTTCAGCAACCCATGCTTGCCGTAAAAGGCGACCATGCTTGTCGTGAGAGGTGACTAACGGGATCGGGTGGTCAGGCTCGTTTACTTGGTTGATGCATGTCAGTTGCGGGGATCGATGCTCATAATATCAATCACTGGATTATCTGGTCCAAACTCGATTATTTACAGACCACCTTCATATAGCTGGAATATTGCTGAATGCGGCGTTAAACAACAAACAAACAAAACATACAACCCCTGCAGCGTTCATGTGTATTGTACGAGCGCTTCGACCAGTCTGTTGGTTTTGTGCATTCGTCACCACTCGCCCCTTTCCGTTACCGGCTTGTACCGGAATAACACAAGTTGGTCACGAATGGGTTTTGTGCATTCGTCACCACTCGTCCCTACCCATAACCTGCACGAAGACTCGTCCCCCTATCGATGAATGTTATGTGCGAAAATACGACAAACCAATCAGAATGCGCGTATGATTTCAAGTTCTTCGTCAAAGAATCCCTCAGAAATAATTTTTGACTTTACATGTGTCTTGCATCTAAAAATATACCCAAGACACAGTTAAATGTGTTCAATGTGCTTTAAATCTGAAATATATATATTATATGGGGAAATATATGTGAACCATTACCCAACGAGTTGACAATTGTTTTAGGTATGCCCGATTGCGCTAAGACGGAACCCGGTCGGAAAAATGGCCATGAGAAGGGTACGAGTCGCTATTCGGCTTGTACCGGAATAACATGAGTTAGTCACGAATGGGTTTTGTGAACACATGCAGGAGAACAACGGACAAGCGGCGTCCCGTTATCGTGGTACAGAGTGCTGGTATCGTGAACCCATGTTTTCCATTTTCATTGAAATGCCTTTTCCTGCAGATATCTTATGCATGCAGTTGTTATATATTATTGTAGCTAAAATAAAAATAATTAGCATCAAAATGCTTCTGTTTAAGAAATAATGTTTGCTCTAACCCCATGGGCAACGCAAGAAAGTTTAGCTTGGGCCTGAACTACTATACGTAGTACCCGTACTACTATACTCGTACATGTAGTAAAAGCACGAATACGCTTGCGTTCGAGTAATTTGACGCTATAATATAGTTCAGGTTGATGTTCGTGGCTGTTATTTCATTTCCTATTTTCATTCATGGTGAAGTCAGCTGTTGTTGGTTTGACCGATTCTTGTTACAGCAAGAGAAAATGATGTCCTGATTGGTTTGACTTTGGAGAGGTCACATAGGGGTTTGACTTTGGAGATGTGACAGGGGGGTTGAGTTAGGAGATGTCACAGGGGGGTTTGACTTTGGAGATGTGACAGGGGGGTTTGACTTTGGAGAGGTCACATAAGGGTTTGACTTTGGAGAGGTCACAAAAGGGTTTGACTTTGGAGATGTCACTTAGGGGTTTGACTTTGGAGATGTCACATAAGGGTTTGACTTAGGAGATGTGAGAGGGGGTTTGATTTAGGAGATGTGACATAGGGGTTTGACTTTGGAGATGTCACAGGGGGGGGGGGGGGGGGGGGTGACTTAGGAGATGTCACAGGGGGGTTTGACTTAGGAGATGTCACAGGGGGGGGGGGGGTTGACTTTGGAGATGTGACATAGGGGTTTGACTTTGGAGATGTCACAGGGGGGTTTGACTTAGGAGATGTGAGAGGGGGTTTTCACTTTGGAGATGTGACAGGGGGGTTTGACTTTGGAGATGTGACAGGGGGGTTTGACTTTGGAGATGTCACATAAGGGTTTGACTTTGGAGAGGTCACAAAAGGGTTTGACTTTGGAGATGTCACTTAGGGGTTTGACTTTGGAGATGTCACATAAGGGTTTGACTTAGGAGATGTGACATAGGGGTTTGACTTTGGAGATGTCACGGGGGGGTTTGACTTAGGAGATGTCACAGGGGGGGGGGGGGGGGGGGGGTGACTTTGGAGATGTGACATAGGGGTTTGACTTTGGAGATGTCACAGGGGGGTTTGACTTAGGAGATGTCACAGGGGGGTTTGACTTAGGAGATGTGAGAGGGGGTTTTCACTTTGGAGATGTGACAGGGGGGTTTGACTTTGGAGATGTGACATAGGGGTTTGACTTTGGAGATGTCACAGGGGAGTTTGACTTAGGAGATGTCACAGGGGGGTTTGACTTAGGAGATGTGAGAGGGGGATTTCACTTTGGAGATGTGACAGGGGGGGTTGACTTTGGAGATGTGACATAGGGGTTTGACTTAGGAGATGTCACAGGGATGGTTGACTTTGGAGATGTGACATAGGGGTTTGACTTAGGAGATGTGACAGGGGGTTTTGACTTTGGAGAGATGTGAAATAGGGGTTTGACTTTGGAGATGTGACATAGGGGTTTGACTTTGGAGATGTGACAGGGGGGTTTGACTTTGGAGATGTGAGAGGGGGGTTTGACTTAGGAGATGTCACAGGGGGGTTTGACTTTGGAGATGTGACAGGGGGTTGAGTTAGGAGATGTCACAGGGGGGTTGAGTAAGGAGATGTCACATCGGTTTTGGAACAGAAGGCATAAGATGACCGGCATGGTACTGAGATAGTTCAGACCGGGAGACTCCGGCAGAGTTGAGGTGGTCTGAGACTGCGGCAGAGTTGAGGTGGTCTGAGACTGCGGCAGAGTTGAGGTGGTCTGAGACTCCGGCAGAGTTGAGGTGGTCTGAGACTCCGGCAGACTTGATTCACACAGCTGGGAAGAGTCACTGAAACGGACATACAATATTCACCCGCCCATCTCCCGCGGCCTCCGTCAACAAAAGTTGCACACCCTTTACTTTGATACTTATCAACGTCTCATTATGTCAGGCAGAAGGGGCGTAATAATATTACCATGGCAACGTGAGAAACTTGCAGATGTAGTCGTGTATTATACACTTACAGACAGACAGACAGACAGACAGATTTATTTCGTAGTGGAGTGCCACTTGTATACTGATTAGATTGTAGCTGAATAGATGTACACACTTTTATTAATATTCAATGTATCATCCTTCTTTCAAATATCTTATAAACATTGCAAGTCTGAGAAGAATGTGGCTATTTTTGCTGTTCACTAACTATACACATTTTCTTTGTGATGGACACGTGTAATCATAGTTAGGCAGGTGTTTGACTTAGGATTATTATCTCTGGATTATACACTTACAGTTATGAAGGAAAGAGAGAGACGAGCAGGTCAATAGCCCTTTATCTTATGCTATTGTCCTAAATAAAGCAAGTCTAGATTTTCCACGGACGGAACTTCCCATATCACTGGTCCATTGGCTCCTGTTTCATGTAATTGTAGCTGTTTGTTTTTTATCAAAATTATATGTTTTCAGAGACTTCGTGAACTTAGTCTACTCCCTTCCTGCCTAGCTATTGTTCTGACAGCGAATTCCTGATATATAATGAATTTCCGAGAGATGTAGACTATTGAATTTCATATCTTATTCGCAAAATATTATGCCGTTACGTAAACTGCAATCAAAAAGAATGATGTGAACTACGTAATGTCGGAGATACATGTATGTATGCTATTTGTGTAACGGTAAACATTCGACGTGAAAAACAACCTGACAACACAAAAAGCAGGCGCAAGCACGCACGCACGCACACACACGCACATGCACACATACGCGCCTTTGTGACACTAATGGGAAAAACGAACAAATTTGACCTAATTTTCTCTAATTGTTTAAGCATCAACCAAGTGAACAGTAATTTACGCTGTTTCGATACCACATATAAATGTGAAATATGTGATTGAAATGAATATTTTGGAAAGCCATAATATGAGAAGGGTCGTTCGTTTATATTAATATGACGAGACGCGCACATACATCAAACACTCGAGCAGAGCCACTCAGTTGTCGATAAAACATGGGATCGGTGATTTAGAATGTGAGCATTGTATTGAATTTATATTCAATGTTGTTCGTTTATCTAGGACAAGACGAACAGCTGACTGGCATCAATGTTATATAAATCAAATAATTTAAAATTAACACCCTACATCCCAACCAAATACCTTTTTCTCCAAATATGTATATATACTATCATACGAATGTGATATTTTCATATTATTTAACAAACTGAAATAAAAGCCCTGGGAGGCACTTGTTTCTTAAATGTACGTGGATTGCTCGTTACGATTCTCCGAACATATTGTGCATGTGTAACGGTTTTTCTTTTACGATCTATATTAGAGACTTTTAGAAAAAGAAATAATCAGTATGTAATCCCGCGGCATCAAGATAAAACAATTGACAAACAAGTCAAGGGTGAAGGAGGATGTGCTCGTACTTCGTTGTTAATCACCGCGCCTCTGAAGCACCTATTGGCACGGCTGTTCTGTCAGTCAAACTATCAAAACATCAAGAATAAACAAACATGTCTTCTTAAAGCATGTATATGTATTTAGAAAAACAACAATTAGAATTTACGTCAAGGGTTTT